GACAAGTCTTGCAAAAACCAGACGCCTTGGGCAATTTATTGAAGTGGATAGTGGAATTGAGCGAGTTTGAGGTTTTAGTCAAGGCCAGAACCGCCATTGAAGGCCAAGCCTTGGCAGATTTTGTGGCAGAGTTCACCAATGTCCCTGAAGTGGAGAAGGATGTGGCCCCCATTGAGCCTCCTACTTGGAACCTATTTGTCGACGGCTCGACTGGAGAAACAGGCTTGGTTCTTGTATGCCCAGAAGGTCACAAGTTGAAGAGTGCTGTACGGTTCGGATTTAAGGCAACAAACAACGCAGTAAAATATAAGGCCCTCCTTGCTGGCCTAAGGCTAGCTAAGGAAATAGAAGTAAAGTAGCGATTCTCAACTTATTGTAGGACAAGTGAATGACAACTTTGTAGCCTGGGATAAGGCCATGGCCTCCTACCTCAAATTGGTAATAAGCTTACTCCCTTCATTTGAGAAATTTGAGTTATGTCAGATCCCACGCTTTGAGAATGCACATGCCGATGCCTTATCAAAACTTGCCAGCAACAAGGATTCTGAATTATTGACAGTAGTCCCAATTGAGCACCTCCTGAAACTATCAACCACTGCAGAAGTGGTAATGTAGGTGGAAGGAACCCCAACTTGGATACAGCCTCTTATATCTTATCTCAAAGACTAATCCTTGCCTGATAACAAGGAAGAGACATACAAAATACGAAGGAGGTCTGCCCATTTCATGCTGGTGGATGATGTCCTCTATAAACGCGGACTCTCTGCACCTCTCCTTCGGTGCGTGGGAGAAGAAGAAGCCAACTATGTGCTCCGAGAAATTCATAAGGGCGTTTGTGGCAACCACTCTGGAGGGTTGGCTTTGGAAAATAAAGTACTGAGGCGGGGATACTATTGGCCTACTTTGAAAAAGGATGCCTTTCAATTTGTTCGCAAATGTGATAAGTGCCAACGTTTCTCCCATATACAAAGGCGACCCTCACAGGAAACAGTATCCAGCCCTTGGCCCTTCAGCAAGTGGGGCATGGACCTCATTGCCCCTTGCCTAAA